GTGGCTAGCTTTGCAGGAAACTCTGCCCTGCCATTAGCCAGCGTGGCCTTCTAGGTGGCCACCTCAGACAGTTCCTGGCAGAGTGTCAGGAAGGGGGTGGGACCCCTAGATGGAGAGTTCCAACGTATACCAGGCAACTCCTGGGTGCCCAGAGGCTGGGTAGGCACCCAGCTGAACCAGGATGACTGATCTCCAGGCAGTGCATCTGTGGCTACTGGGATACTTAACCCTTTGTGGGCCTGAGTTGTCTCCCCTTTCCTCCCATCTTCCACAATGCCCTCTGAGAAGCAGGAGTCACTAAGCCCATGAGAAGTTTGCAGGAGGGAGACAAAACCAGCCCTGGGTCTGCAGCTCTTCAGAGTATAGGTGAAGGAGACAGTGGCCACAGGCCAGAGGAGCTGGGCTGGGGGAGAAACTTGACTCAAGAGGAGCGCCTTGCCAGTTTCTTTCTTCAGGATGGGTCAGGCTGTGGGCCTGATTGCCTAGAACTGAATGATGAAGAAGCAGGGGTGACAAAGGCAGGAAGGCCCATGGAGATAGGGCAGTAGGCACAGCCTTCTTGACCTCCTCCCCTTCCAGTTCTGCTGAGTGTTGGCTGTGACCCTGGCATAAAGACAATAATTCTAGGGTGCTCGTGGGCTTTCGGGTGTTGGTGTCTCCAGTTCTCGTCACACCTTCTGGGGGAGGGCAGTCAGATGATTTGTGAGAAAGAGAAGTCAAACTTTCCCATGCAGTTCTGTCTGCATGTCTAGATTCTAGAAGGTGGAGAGAGGAGTCCTGGGGGTGATAAAGGGAGCTTTTGGATCTGTGTGTTGTCTGGTGGGTGAATCTGTCTAGGGGCCTGAGGCTGTACCCCCTTGTATCCTATGTGCACGAGATGGGTAGGGATGTGGGGTTGCTATTCATGTCTGCCTGTATTTATGTGGCTGTAGCTTGAGGGCAGCAGTAAGGACAGCAGTGGTCCACCTAGAAGTCCTCAGCCTGCCATCAGCCCGGTACCCTCAGAGACTTCCCAGAGAGCAAAGAGCCCTGAAGCCACACTCACTATGAATGGCCTGGGGGCTGCCTCCACCCCAAATGAAGAGGCCCAAGGTCTGTCCCGGAAGCGGGTGGCGAACGCAGTGAGGAAGGTGGTGAGCAAGGTACTGCCTGGTGAGGAGGAGCCTGGGAATGCCAAGGAGCCTCCGGGCCGAGGAGCCAAGTCCCCTGAGCACCCGCCTCGTGGCAAGAAGGGAGAAAAGGCAGCTTCTTGTCCCAAACCCCCGCCACCACCGCCTCCTCCTCCTGCTCCACCAAAGCCCGAAGCAAAGAAGGAGGCAGTCAAGGACGAGCTCTCTGTGGGCCTGCGCAGTCTGATGTCTCGGGGCCGAGGCAAGGACCACAAGTCCCGCAGCAAGCAGCCTCCTGGGAGAGGAGAGAAGGCCCCCAGCCAGGAGCCAGGCTCCTCTGGAAAACCGGGCTCCCCAGATGTGGTGGATGCTTCAAAGAAAGCAGGATCCCCAGCCAAGCCTGAAACCCCAGATAAGCAGTGTTCCCCAGCCCCGGCACAAGAGCTGGCTAACCTAACCTTGGCTGGCCCGAAGTCGAATGCCTCTAGAGAGCAGCAGGCCAAGTCACCAGCCTTGGGTGTGCGGCAAGAGGTACCAGAGTGTGCCACTAATTTCCCATGTCCCTCACCACTCTTGCTTGAGGGCTAAGCACCCTCATGGTGGCTTCCTCAAGTCTGAAGGAGCCTCACATGATCCCGGCTGGCCCAGGGTTATATACTCACCCATGGCGGGGGCTGCATGACTTCCATTAACCCTGTACTAGAAAGAATGCCTGGTGCTCTGGCTTGCTAACCAGCATGCTGCAGGCCTTTCCTTGAGAGTCAAGACCTGGTCTCTAGCTATACAAAGCCAGCTTGAGGCACCATATCCAAAGCTAAGGATCAGAGTCTCGGAAGATGAGTGTGGGGTGGAAGCAGTGTTCTTAAGTCAGGTGGCCCAGGCTCACATTCACAGCCACACTCCTGTGAGACTCCACAGCAGGGTCCACTGCTAAGATCCTATCTGTCAAGTGGGGAGTTATTATGTGGGCCCCTAGTCCCTTCTATGAAGCCTAAAGTACTGGGAATTAGTCATTTTTATATTTTGGAATATTTTATGGTATGTACACAATCGGCTACCTACAACAAACGTGATTATTTCCAAAGCAAACCCAGGAAAATAAAAGATCAACAGTTTTGCCACCAAAATCACTAAGAAAAATCTTTTGATTGGAGGATTCTTTGGATTTTTGAATGACAAACAAGGTGTGATACTTGCTTTGGAGGGTGGCTGTGCTGATGAGATATGACACCAGTTATATATGTCAAGCCTGCTCCCTGGCTCCAGGTACCCTAAAATAGGTAGGACTGACAGTGATGCTGATAACCTTTCTTAATGCCATCACTGCTTTCTTCAGGCCTGGCCTGGGTGGCAGGCAGGCAGAGTGAACCCCTTTGTGTCGGCACTAACCCATCTCCACAGGTGATGGCGCCTTAGCCGGTCTTGAGTTAGACAGTTCTTTTCAAGCTCCTCCACCTTGTGGGTCCTGCTGAGGTCTCGTAGGACATGTGTTGGGGGTTAGACATTTTCTTTCTGCTTCCCTGAGCTTTCGCGGGTTTTTTGTAGCTAGGCGAGGACTGAGGTGGATGCCAGGGCACAGCCTGAGGGACCTTGAGGCACTCACTGGGTGCTTCCTCTTGATATCCATCTTTCCTGGAAGTGGTCTTGCTGGGTATTGCAGGATGTAGAGGGAAGCCAGCTGCCACCCTTCCCCATCCTCCTGGCCTGCTCTGTCAGGGCAGTGTGTTCCTGGCCCCCAGCGGGGAAGAGTTGACAGGGGCTTTCTTGTCTGGTGATCTGGGTAGGAGCTGAACTTCAGTTCCTTGGGGAACCTATAAGTAGCCAGGGAGTGTCATGTGCCTGTCTGGGGCTGTGCCCTTCTCCCTCCAGCTCTCTGTACCTTCTCTATGCACGGGGTGGAATTGGGAGCTGAGTCATGTCTTGACCTGGAGTTCATCTCTTGTACATCCTAGGACAGGAGTGAAAGGGGGGTAACAGGGTCACAATGAGCTCACAATGGTTAGGGAAGCAGGAGGAAGTAACCCCAGCCCTCATAGGCATCCACCTCTTCCTTTTCTGTGTCATGTAGTTTCAAAACTCAAGCTAGCACTTGGCTTGTCTCCCAAACACTGCTCCACTTTTGCACTGGGTCTCAGTGGCTCCCTGGGCTGAGAGCTTGGCGTGTGGTGCCTCCTGCTGTCCCCTGAGACAGAACTAATAGTGGTTTAACCTTTAGACAGGAGCTGACCCTGAGGTCCGGCTGAGTCCCGCAGAGGAGGCACACCAGCGACTTGAGAGGATCTTCACAGCTTCTGTAATGCCACCTCTTGTGTGTGGGTTCCCAGTGTCTGGACTCTGTGTGTGTGTGTGTGTGTGTGTGTGTGTGTGTATGTGTGTGTGTGTGTGTGTGTGTGTGAGAGAGAGAGAGAGAGACAGACAGACAGACAGACAGACAGACAGAGACACACAGAGAGACAGAGAGAGAGAGACAGACAGACAGACAGACAGA